GTATAAACGACAATAAACTTAATACACTCAAACCATACTTGTATATTATTGCGTTTATGAAAGGTAGTATACACTCACTTGATCAGAAGATGATCGGACATCACTACGGCTTGCAGAAGTCGTAATCCTCAGTAGATCTGGAAGATCTCTACGAAAATCGAACTTCTCGCGGGCAGAGCTTCGGCTCGGAAACCGCACTTCTCGGGATCTTTGGGATCTCGGGACTCGCTTCGGGACTCGGGAATATTACCGGGGCTTTGCGGTACAAACAGCACGCAAAACGAGGCAAAAGACTAGAGAGAAGGATGGAATTTGTAAAGGAACTAAGGCTGCCTTCGGATCCTTTTTATAGAGGCTGGAAGCCCGAATTACGCGGGGCGTATGCAACGTCATTGCATGCGTATGTGTTCGAGTGACGTCATTGCATGCGTAGCTGAGGCGGTTCACGGGTACGCTGGGCGTACCCCAAATTACGCTGGGCGTACGCTATTAAGCAAACTTCAAACTTGCATAACTTTTGCATACGAGCTCCGTTTCCGACGTTCTTTATATCCACGCGAAGGTGAGACTACGCTCTACAACTTTCGTTTAGACTCCGTCGGCTAATTTTGACTTTATTTTTATTATTTATTTTTAATAGGCCGGGACAGAAAATTTCGTTATAAATTCATAACTTCTTCGTTTGACGTCCGTTCTCGCCTAACTTTTTATCGCTTTGATACTAACAACGAGATCTTCGATTCTCGTTTAGATCACTAAGGCTAAATATCGCTCTAACGTAAATTTCACTATTTACGCCATTCAGCGTTGCCGGTTTTGTCGCGAAACTTCGATAGGTCATAACTTCCTCGTTATAACTCGGATTTCGGCATTCTTTATATATTCGAAACCTTGTTTCAACTACTACAACATTATCTACAGATATCAAGTTTATTTTACACTTAAATTTTGACGCTTATTTTTATTCTTAATTAATCAAACCACATAATTAAGAAATTAAGCACAAAACACATAATACTCAAATAATAAACTCTTATTATTTCAAAACGGGTTACAAAGGTTAACCTAGATCATTACATTGCTAAAAATGGCAAGCCTGAAAACACAGTCGTTACAGTAACCCCATGAGAAATTTTCGTGTTGGGAGCCCAAAGTGGATAATATTATGATACGTGGCAGAGAAGATGTTACAAGTTGGTTCCTTTTGGGGATTTCTCCCTCACCGGTGAACCCTGGTCTAATTGTGAGGTGTATCTACATCTATTTACTCTATAAAAATTACCATTTGTGTTTTTTAAAGTCGTGAAATTTATGACGTGAGTGAAGAGTATTTTTAGAAATTGTTTCTTATTGAACCAAGATTAAATTTGGGATTTAAAAAAAATATTGGGTTTTGCTTTATAGGTTTCTGATTTTGTTATGTTATCTTCGTGTATATTGTCTTTTAGAGTTTGGAGAAGACAAACATAATATTTATTATTCAAATATGATGGAAAAAACCATTTCACCGTTTCTGGCAACTGTGATCAAATCTATGTTGTTCTTGGAGTTATGCAACTTTCCATCATCCAGTTTAGTGGAAGATGATGAGTGCATGACCCTTTGATTGTAGATTGAACATAAGATCAACAATCTCTAAGTTACCATGTTTTCCGATGACCTTTAAGGTCTCCGGCTCACAGCTACTGCTTCCGATTGTATTTTCAATTCTTTATTTGATATATTTATCATGTCTTCTTGTCATTGGAGTTGATGGTTGCTTCCGGAGTTGATAGTGCTTGCCAGAGAAGAACACGATGGTGGTTGTTGTATTAGTAGGTCCCATTAAATAAATAATAAAAACTTTAAGAACAAATAATAAAAAAGTAAATAAATAACAAAAGCATTACGAACCAATAAATAAAGTTAAAATAAATTAAATAAGAACATATTTTCTTTTGAGTTGAGTTAGGAAGTAAACATGAAATAAATTTAAAAAGTAAGTATATTCCAAATTAAAAAAAATAAAAAAATGAAGCACTACATGTGCAATTTACACTAAACCATAGTAACTGAGTTTCTAAAAAACTCGTCATGGCTCCAAAGCTTACACCTGCCGCCAAATTGTACCAAAACGACGCTTTAACTCATATATCTGTATAAAAATGAATAATAATTGAAAAAATATATAAAAATATTAATTATAATTTGCGGCCTTAAGTCATGCCTTACAAAGATCGTGACTCGTTAAAGCTTAAAAAGCTTGAAAGTTGACATTGTAACCAATTCACGCCTTACGTTATTTAGTAATTGATAATAACCATGAAAGTACTCTCTAATTAGGGTGCGTACACTTAAATTTTAGAAAGGTGGTCCATCTTTTTGATAACCAAGAAATAGTGCTACTAGCATATAATTACTACAAAAACATTATTATTGGAGAAATTAGAAACCGGATGTGATTGAATGTTGATATATTAGTACGGATAGCACCGATTTCTAGCCAAAATAAATATTTTATTAGTTTTATTCTTTGAAATCAAATTCGTATCGTTAAATTAGATTATGTGTCTCTTACATGACTCATGTGGTACCAAAGATTGACATTGCCATAGACAATTTATTATTTGTATCCTAAACACAATTATTATCGACATTTATAAAACCTATCTATTATATTAGTTTATTCAAAAAACTAAACAAACATTATGATATAACAATTTAAAGAATTTAAGTTTATAAGAAAAAATATAAAATATTTAATTATTAAAATTGAAATGTTTACTTGTTTTTTAAATTTATACTAATAGTAATTTAAATAAATAAATAACTAAAATAATTAGATTCAATTTATAAATTTAAAAATTATAAGAAAGTTATATTAATGAATTAGATATACATTTATTACATTTATGTATTATATTAAATTTAATAAAATATAAAAAACTACAAAATAACACACACATACATATATATATATATATATATATATATATATATATATATATATATATATATATATATATATATATATATATATATATATATATATATATATATATATATATATAGGAGGGTTCAATTGAGAAAAAAAAAGTTGAGAATAGGGGAATCATTCTCAGCCAATCATTTATTTTTACAGCAAAACCCTCCAACGTACCGATGGAAATGGGAAAGGAATGCACATATGTTTTCCAACAAAACATGTTTCCTTAAACTATGGTAAGCATTACTTTAATATATACAAAAACATAGTTTTTTATTTTTTTTATTTTTTATTTTTATTTTTTATTTTTAAAAGCTATTTTAATCGAAAAATGATTTTAAATATATCAAAATTCATAATTTTTTATTCTTTACAAATAGACATCCATATTGATATATTTTTAAGATAAAAAATATATATTTTTTATATTTTCAGCTATCGTTATTCATAAGTGAATAAAAATGAATCTGATTTTTACTACAGTACATTCGTTATTCACTTATGAATAAAAACTATGAATAATTTTTTTTTACAATTTAAGTATCATTCATATATGAATATAACATATACTAAATATAGTATATTCGTATTTAAATATTAGACGATGCATTCACTTGTGAATATTACATAGTATATTCACTTGTGAATGTTAGATGATATATTCACTTATGAATATAATATGATATTTTCATATGTGAATATTATATAGTATTACATGGTATATCACATGAGAATAATACATAGTATATTCACTTGTGAATATTAGATCGTATATTCACTTATGAATAATAGTTGGTATATTTATATGTGAATATTGCACAGTATATTCATATATTCATATTACAATGTGTTTTCAGAAATATATATAATTTTTATATATTATTCACATATGAATAGCGTACAGAATTGCATATTTGTTTTGTGTTTTAATAATCACATATCGATTTAGGTGAGAAAACATATTCATATATGAATATAACGTGGTAATTTAGTTTATGCATTTCATCAAACAGTTGGAGTGCATACAAGTTAACTTTTTTAAAAATGTGATAAATATGATATTTTGACTACCTAAATCTTACAAAATAGTAGATTGTTAGAGAAATATATGAAAATTTCAAACAAAAAATGATTTGATCTTTTTCTAACCTTAATTTCGATATTTATTTGATGAACGATGGTGAATGAATGATACGAATTGAATTTTTTGTTGATTATCGATGATGTTGTTGTAATGATGCTAGGAGTATAATTAATCGTAGATGTTGAAGATATGTTCGTATTCAAACAGAATTGAAGGTTGGATTGAAAGAGCAAAAAACGAATGAATTTCAACTGTTCGTATTTGTGATTGAAGACTATTATATCATATTTACAAGTTTGCCACAGTATCCTTTATGTTAGAGACTAATTAAATGAGTGGCTGAGAATGATTCCCCCATTCTCAATCTTTTTTATTTTTCTCAATTGAACCCACCTCTATATATATATATATAATATATATATATATATATATATATATATATATATATATATATATATATATATATATATATATATATATAATTTAATCTAAATTTATTATAAAATAACATAACATAATAGATAAAAAGATGACAAGTGGCAAAATTATTTTTATTTATTAGAAAAGATTTTAAAGCACAAAACATTTCTACAATCACACTAAAATTAGAAATAGAGAACTTGTATTAGCTTATATTTTTTCATTTTCTCGAGATAATTTTAATGGCATTTGTAGATTAAAATTAAGGGACCAACCTTGTTTTTTGCATGTCTCAAATCTCTCTATGCTGAATATTCTGAATATAACAGGAACATAAAAATCAGCATGAAGAATGTCTATTGTCAAAACCAACTCAATGAAAATACATTAATTAGATACATATCATGCAATAAAAACACCATCGATACACTATAATAAACCAATCAAATTTGTTGAAAGTGACTTAACGGACACTTTATGCATATATGCTTATAATTTGTGTGTATATATATACTATGATCAGATTTCAGCGTTATATAACGCGATCACACAACACCATTTAACATCACTTATAACTGAACAATGGGCTCCCTAATAATACCTAAACTTCTCATAGTAGACTTCACAAATGACAACTTAACCCCTGGCACAACCACCTGGTCCTCCACGTGTAACGATATCAGGGTTGCCCTTGAAAACCACGGCTGTTTCATAGCACTCTACAATGGAGTCTCTACCAAGCTTCAAGAATCCGTCTTCCAAGCTGCAGACGAATTATTTGACCTCCCAACGGAGACCAAAATCAAAAACATCGTCTCAAAGCCTTACCATGGATACGTAGGCCAGATGCCCATTATCCCACTTCATGAAGGGTTAGGAATCGACTACGCTACAGACCACGAAGGAGCTCAAAGTTTCACAAACCTCATGTGGCCAAACGGAAATCAATCCTTCTAGTAAGTTATTAAGTCAACATTTTTCTCCATTTAGTCAAACCAACAAACTCTAATTTCTAACTTTGTTCTTTTAGTAAATTATAATTCTGAATTCTGACCCTTGATTTTAGCATATTTCTTTGCTTTTTGTCTTAAAGGAATTAATTTGTATTTTTAGTCTTCATTTTGATGTAAAAACGATTGCTTGTAGGTTTTGGAAGATTTTAATTTTTGATTTTTATGTAATTATATATATAAAAGCTAACATCTACTTTTGTATTTCTAAACAAATAAAAAGGTATATCTTATCTACCAGCTCTTCCAAAGACACCCTTAATGTTCCAGAAACAAAATCGATGTTAACTTAAATTGCAAACCAGTTCCTTTTAGAATCAAAACTGAAAAATATGATAAACTCAGGGACTAAAATTGTAACTTTCTCGATCTGTTGTAGTGAAACTTCAATGTTGTTTTCAAGGGCAGTGAAGGAATTAGAAAACATGGTGATAAAGATGATGTTTGAAAGCTACGGTGTGGGAAAGTACATTGACTTGCATATGGACTCCACGACTTATCTTCTTCGGTATTTAAAATACAGAGCACCAGAGATGAATGAAACCACAATGGCTTTTCCTTCTCATACAGATAAAAGCTTTTTGACAATACTTCATCAGAATCAGGTTTCAGGGTTGGAAATAAGAACAAGGAATGAGGAATGGATTTCTGTTGAATACCCTCCTTCGTCTTTTGTGGTCATGGCAGGCGATGCTTGCAAGGTGATCAGTGAACAGCGATCACCATGCATATGTACTGTTTTATTATTTTATAAATTCAGTGGGAAATTTTTTTAACAGTGTATTTTGTGATGATAGGCTTGGAGTAATGATAGGGTGCTATCGCCGAACCATAAAGTAACCATGGAAAAGAATGGGAAGGAAACGAGATATACTATTGCGTTGTTCTCGTTTTTGAGTAAGAAGGTGGAAGTACCAGATGAGTTGGTGGATTATGAGCATCCTCTAAAGTACAAGGCGTTTGATCATGTTGATCTTCTGAATTATTATGTCACGGAAAATGGAAGGAAATCGCAGAATATTCTCCAAGATTTCTGTGGTGTTTAAATATATATCTACTATAAATATAATGAATGCACTACTGCTATATAGTATGTTTTAGCAGCATTATTGAAGATCTCATGCCTTTTTTTTTTTTTTTTTGTGGGGGGGGGGGGGGGGGGGAGGGGGAGGAGGAGGAGGGTTCAATGTATTTCCATATATATGTACTATGATCTTGGTCTATTTGAAATGGTTATGGTTTGAACATGTCAATTATAGAAAACACTGACGGATTTACTATGGTGCCCGTAGTGGTACCGATAAATCCTGATTTTTTTGGACGCAGTGCAAAAACTATCTTTTGATTTTTTTTCTACTCTCGTGACACTACTAAAATTTTTCGTGACATTCCTACTATGAAATCTTGTGTCCTCTAATAGAAAGAAAAATGCAGTGACTTTTTGGAAGTAATTTTAGGGTTTTAGTTATCTTTTTATGTACTTTAGTTGTTGCTTTTCATTTTAACAGTTTCTTTATACTTAGATTTCTTCGAGTTTTAGATTATTATGAACTAAACGAATGTCAGGTTGTTGTGCAAAATACAATTAAGGAATTTCTAACCAAGCAATAGTATTTTCAAAAGTAACTACCAATTAACGGTAATTTAAAAGTTATTTACTTATTCATTGTACTTTATTATTTAAAAGAATATTCCATTAATTACTCCCACAGAAGCTTTTTCCGTCTTTCCATCACATGGCATTCTGTCGGCATTCTCCCTCGCCATGGCATACTCGTCATTTCTTGGTGTTTCCTAGTCGTTGACCACCGTTTACTTGTCATAGTTCATTCCTTATATGTGGTCATGAATAACATAAAAGATGAAGAGAAAAACATATGGAAATAAGAAGAAACCCATGAAATAGATAAGGTGGCTGACAACTAGGGTAAGATAAGGAAAAGATGAAGGCTAGGTCGATGACACAACTACAATAAATAAAGAGGACACGATGACGACATCGAGGAAATCATACAACTAGAGAGGGCTAAGACTCATTACCATATTCCCATATTATATATATATATATATATATATATATATATATATATATATATATATATATATATATATATATATATATATATATATATATATATATATATATATATATAGAGTCAAGATCAAGTAAGAAGGAAATTTTTGGTAGGAAGGTAAGAAGTTTTTTTTTCTACATATTTTTTTCGCGAACAAACAAAATGAATCATTAGATGATTCATTTGTAAGATGATTCACAAGAAAAAATTCTCAAAAAAACATCTCGATGATTCATTTATATAATGATTTTGTTGTTATTCACTAAAATTGTCATAAAAGTAAATTTTTTCTTAATTTACTTAAAAATGAATCATAAAGATATTTTTTTGAGAATTTTTTCTTGTGAATCATCTTACAAATGAATCAACTAGTGATTCATTTTTTTTGTTCGTCAAAAAAATATGTAGAAAAAAAACTTCTTACCTTCCTACCAAAAAAAATTTCTTACCGGATCTATATCCTATATATATATATATATATATATATATATATATATATATATATATATATATATATATATAACTTAAGAGGACTTTTGTTGATTTGTCGTAAGGAGCGCATTTGTATCCCGCCTCATGCAACTAATGTAGCTCGATTTTGGAATAGCAGCCTTTGGCAAGCCTATGTTTTCCAATGTGTCGTTCGATTGGAGGTAGCTCTTCGGTTGGATGCAATTATCATCATAATTGGACGTCTAAGAGCAACCTTTGATATTCCATCTAACATTATAACCAATCCTTTTTGTTGTATAAATGGGGTATCTTGGACAATCTATTCAACAAATAATGTTTACTTCGATCATCATAAGATTTTTAATGTATTTTATCAATGTTTATAGTTTATTGGTTGTTGATTTGTGTATTTTGCTTAAGATGAAACATCATAATCAATGTTGTTCTTCGTTGTGGAAGAAATATGTGCACATGAAGGGGCCGAAATTAAACAACATTGATATGGTTTTTGTAATATCTAATTCCAGGTATTGCTCTTGAGACCCCTTTTAATTTTAAGGATTTATTGTGTTTGGAGAGGTGCCACGACGTGGTGATGAGGCTCACCACGATGTGGTTGTTCTCTACAAGTGGACATACATTTTTAATCACCATGACGTGGTCATGCAATGGCCACGATGCGACGGCGACAGAAAGAGAAAACCCTAATTTTGGGTCTTGAGTCCTATTAAAGCAACATTATGGTTAAGGTTTGCTCTTAACTCCCTTTGTGTTGGTTCCCTTGATCGTGGTTGATTAACATAAAAGATAACTAAAAGAACACAAAGATATATCACAAAGGTTTTTCACTAAGAAAAGTGTTCTCCTTAAGAGAACAAGCATAAATAGTTTAAGGTTCATTAATCAAATAATAATACAAACCCTAATACATAATTTATACTAAAGCAATATTGTGGGAATCCTTACATTCCAGGGATCTCACCTAATGTACGAAAAAAATAAAGTATATATGTTATCCCAAAGATATCAGATATGCTAACAACTATGAGTGTGTGTGTGTGTGTGTATATATATATATACACACACACACATACATACATACATACAAAATATTACATTAATGTAGATATCATGCTAATGCAGTAAACACATAACTTTACGCTGGCTCCGGTGAGACACCATCGCTGATCAGTGTGACATGGTTTTGTGTCATTAGTTTTTAAGGTTTGACCTTACAATCTCCCCTAATATGATGATGTCAAAACCCAAAATCTTCTTCTTCTGAACAATGATAGAACTCATTAACATCTTCTCCAGCTTTTAGCTTGACCCATAAATAATTAGAAATAACAAGCTGTTTCTTCCTTTTGTTTAGATCAAGAGAGATTAAGAAGTGATAGTTTTGTTCGAGTTCCATGTGACACAAACATGCAATTCTTAAGCGGCACTAAAGTAGACGTTGGGGACGAGGAAGGTTTATTAAAGGTCTTGGGCACTAAGTCAAGATCTTCAATCTTTGTGATGAATCTTTTAAGTATAGGCCAAAATTTCTCAACATATTTCCCCTTCTGCTTGTTGACAAAATCTAGAAGCTGCATCCACTCACTCTACCTAAATTTCACCAAATCCTAGGAAGATAAGACCTCAGTGTATTGGCTACCAGCTTTACCCATGTCACCACGCCTTGTGATATACACTATAAGCATTCCTTTATTTTTGGGTTTAGTACATCTCACTTTGATTATTGGATCATGATCACTTCTTCTTGTTAACACACTTCTAAACCCACTTCATTCAAGTTTGGTAATTGTGCGTTCTTAAACAACTTTCCCCTTTGATATTTTCAGATTAAACTCTTTCAATCGCTCAATCTGATTAGGCAGTTACTAGAGGAAATTAACCTTTATTGAATCATCTTGGAGTCTTGCCTAACATACATCTGATTTGCAGATTGGATGTTTTGTTTCCGCACAAATTTCCTAGTCTCTTCGATAGACACTCCCCAAAAAGTTTTGCCATTTTAGGAATTGTACGCTCTTGACATCTCTTTTTGGAGGGACCAACATCAGAGGAAGACTTGGTCTTTCATTTTTTGTTCAGTGGAACATCATCATTGGACTCAGTGTCACTAGGCTATCCTCGAGGATCCTTTTCCTTTTCCTGAGGAATTTGCTCCTCCTCAGCGTCAATGTTGAAATCTAGAAATACTGTTTAAAGTGGTATTACATCTATCAATGATAAGTCCATGCATTAAACTTCATGTTCTACTTCCAACTAATCATGAATGTCCTTAACATTCATTTCATTATCAATATCAACATTTCTAGTAGACTTACTGAAATTCTCCCCCTTTTTGGCATCATCAGACAGAGAGGGTATAACAAGAATATGTGTAAATGTTTGGTTCTGTGGAGTTGAAGAAGATGAAGGTGTATTATTTTGGGGAGACAGATTTGATGGAGGAGAACCAATAGGCAATAGAGGAGTAATGGTGGATGTAGGACCACCTTTTGGAGGAGCTCCAAAAGAATCAAGACGAGGTTGTTGATCATTGCCTAGAGGTGATTGATATCGATCATCCTCAGTTTCAATGTTGGCTCTTGTAACTATTGATTTGATTTCAGCAACATTAATCTCTATTATGGTCAGTCGCTAACTCATGTTGGAGGTTAGTTGAACAAGAGACTTCAACGCATATAGAATGTTCTCATGTAAATCTTTGAACTCAGCAAGAAACACACTTGATTGTGATTGCTCTCCCATGTAGTTTCTTGAGTTGAAAGAATTTGTTGAACATGAGGATGTTGTTTAGTTTGAGTAGGTGGAGAATGAGCATGCTATATTTATTGTTCTTGAGGAGTGCGGAAAAATAGAGTTCAAACTTGATTCAGAGAGGGTGTACGAGGAGAAGGTGAATCACCTTGGTTATGAGGAAAAGTGTTAGAGATATGATCATCATTATCAATTTGAAGAGCTAATGGAGGAGTTTCAAGGGTATATTATTCCTCTTGATCTTCCATGGATGGTGAAGATTCAGATTGAATGTGCCTGTTATGATGAATGGATTCGGCCTCACTATAATCCTGTACCTGATCTTCTTAACATTGATCAACAACAACCATCTTCCGTATCCTTACTGTTATGCTCAAAATCAATACCAACAACGTCAGTGTCTTCATCAAAATAATGGATGCTCTAAGTGTCAACTTGTGGATCTTCATTCTCTTCTTCAGACGCCTGGTCATCATCTTCCATCTCATAATCCTCTGATGGGACTACATGAGTAATATATGTAAATCTTTCACACTTATATGGAACGTTAATCCACTTCTGCATTCCCCTTGTAATGCTCCATTAATCTCCAGGATCCTGGTTGAACAACTTTGAAGATGTAAAAGAATAAGCCTAATTTTCAACATGTTCATCATCATATCTGATACCAAAATACTAAAGTATCAATGCAAACCATCAAGGGTAAGGAACATGAGTAGATCTTTTACTTCATTTGATGACCAAATATAAGTTGGGCAAAATCTAGTTGCTAATTCTTGACGATGGAGAAGAGCATACGATGTTCAAAGGAGTTTATCTAATCAAGACTTCTCATTTTGTGAGAGAGAAACTTCCCAAGCACACCAGTGAGAAACTTCCAAGTAGTTGGAAGATGCATACATACAACTCCTCCGCGCTGTGGCAATTGGGCACACACAACTTTTATTTTATTTTATTTAAGTTTTTTTTTCATAAAATTGCATCACCCCACATTTATGTGTTTCTTGTCGTCATAGATATGATCAAAAAATGATGATAGAAGAGTAAAAATCCTAATTAACAAAGAAATAAAACGCAAAAGTAGAGTGAAAAGAATGTAACGACCGAAAAATCCCAACCAATTTAAAATTTTCAAAAACAACGCAATTCATTAAGTTATGACCAAAAGGTTTTCAATACATTTATTATCAGAGTATTCCCAGGTCAATATCATAAAACATCAACACGAGGAGCGGTACGATCACGCCTTTGCCTTGCCACAGTCTCCTGAAGAACCTGAAAAATATTAAACCACAAATGTAAGCCCGAAAGCTTAGTGAGATACCCCCAAAATACCAACCACATATACCATACATGTAACATGCCATATCATATCGAATCACATAACAACCATGCATATCGGGTCTACTGTGAGACTGGTCCGCCGTGTCGGGCCTTCAGTCCACCTGGTCCACCCTCCGAGTTCACTCATGTCCCTCGAGTCTGCAGTGTGGTTGGTCCGCCCGCACTGGGCCTTCAACCCACCTGGTCCACTCTCTGAGTCTACAGTATGACTGGTCCGCCCGCATCGGTCCTTCGGTTGGCCTGGTCCACTCTCCAAGCCTCAGCACGTCTGGTCCGCCCTCGTGGGGCTTACAGCCTATCCGGACCGCTCGCTGGGCCTTCGAAACAACCGATCCGCCCTGGGTATCTTGGCCTACAGCACAAAGCAGGACCCGCCTCAACCCAACTCCAGTCTAAACAACCATGTGCACATAAACATACTATCATATAAGAGTTCACAGTCAACAAGCCGATCAAACAGATCACATAACATATCATCATCCTAACCAGGATACTGACCTAACCGATCACTAGCATAGCATCACCCTTCATATCAGGAAACCGACCTTAACCAGGTCTCTAATCATATATCACCCTAGCTACCAGGATGCAGACATATCAAAGTAATAACATAATAACAAATACCCGGATCTCAATCCGATAAAGGGTCGGCCTTGGTGCCTTAGACCCCGTCGATATAGTGAGGATAACTCACCTCGAAACTTCCGGCTGAACGGATAACTCAAGCTGCTCCAACTACTGGTAGGATCTCCACCACTCGCCAACCACCAATACAATGAACTTAAAACAATATTCAACAATTACCAAAATGCCCCTAAAAATAAACTGGTCAACCTTGGTTAAAGTCAAAGTCAAAGTCTACCCCTGACTGACTCTACTCGCCGAGTCAACCCGATGACTCGCCGAGTCCCCATACACAGAACCTCCTTCAATTCGCGACCCAACTCGTCGAGTCATCCCTTGACTCACCGAGTCACAACCCTTCCAAAAGAAACTTGGACCCTACGACCAGACTCGCCGAGTCTACGACTATCTTCAACCTACTCGCCGAGTTGTTCTTACAACTCGCCGAGTTCCAGGCCATCTTCATCCAACTCGCCGAGTTGTTCATCCAACTCACCGAGTTCCAACCTTTTTTCAAGCAACTCGCCGAGTCTACCCATGTGACTCGCCAAGTACCACCAGGTCTGAATCCATACAGAGGCTTTCCAAGCCATGCAGATGATCCAAGCCATATATCTACCCCTCCTAAGGCCATCCATCATGTAAAGTGGCAATATTTACGTGAATCCAAGAAGATCTAGGCATTTTCACTCTAGGGTTTGGGTTTGGGACAAGATAGCTCCATCAATCACTCAAAAACAGGGACCTTTATGCATTCTAACCCTTCTCCATTCCAGATCTGAGGTAGCAACCTCAGATCTAACCTCTAAACTCCAATACATCAAAAGATATGATCTCTAACACCTCCAAAAATGATGAATCTAGATAATAGCAGCTCAAACAATGAAATAATACCTCAATAGGAAGCTCCAAGAGAAGGTTAATCCGAATCCTTGCAAAGCCCTTTGATCCAAGTCTCTTCTCCTTCAAGATTTATTCAACAATCACTTCCCCAAGCTCCAAATGCACTCTACTCCCTCAAATTTGTGCCGTAGGGATTTCTGGACTTCTATAGAGGGTAAAGAGGCTGGGGAGAGGGTATAATGTCCTTTAAATAGGGCTCATCCTCCGGATTTAGGGTTTTCTCCACTCACCGCCTACTCGCCGAGTCCATCCGCTGACTCGCCGAGTCGGCCACATAACACGCGACCAAAGTCGCGACCTTACTCGCCGAGTCCACCCATGGACTCGCCGAGTTCTCCTTCCCAATTACTCTTTTAGCCCTTCAACTTTATTCTTGATATTCCGGGATGTTACAAAGAAAATGCAAACCGCGGGTTGCCTCAAACAAGCACTTCTTTTTTAGGAGTGTTGAGCTAGACTCCTTCCTGCTCCACATTGTTGTAGGTGGGAGTGAGATATCTCTTTTCTCATTCTGCTCCTTCCACCTTCTTTTGTAAGCGTGAAATCGACTTATATATATATATGCCTTTTTCGTGTTTTCCTTTTTCTTTCTGTTGGCGTGTTCCCCATTTTTGCGTTTCAATCTTTTTCTTTTTCTTTCAACAGATTGTGTCTTCCATTCTTCCTCTTTTTCCCCTCGTTTCAACTTCCATCTTGGCAATCATCAGCTCATCATTATGCTGATCCACCTTCTTTCACTTTGCTCATCATCATCATCACTTGAGTCAAATTTTTCTTCTTCGCTTGCTTCATCTACTTGAGGCTTTGATTTTGCGAAAGCGAAAACGTCAAAAAACATGGGGATTGAGGCTCTTGGCTTGGTAAGGTTGGGTCCTTCTCCTTGAGACTGCTCCCATGCCTTGATCTATTCCTCCATCATTTTTTCTATTTTCTTTAACTCGTTGAGACTTTCATCTACTCCTTTGTTTGCCACCATCCATCCAAATTGTTCACTCTTAACATCTCATTTAAAGGTTCGTCATTAATCACTCTTTGGTTCATTTCAAAAGTTATTTCTTTGTCTTGTACTCGAATGTCAATGAAGGCTCTTGCGGCACTCAAGAATGTTCTTCCTAAGATTATAGGTTGACCATCGTCTTCTTCATATCTAAGACTACAAAGTCTACTGAAAAAATGAATTTTCCAAGCTTCACCACTAAGTCTTCTATAATTCCATGTGGATGAGTTATTGATTGATCTACCATTCGAATTGTTATTCTTGTGTTTTGTAGCCTTGGTAATGCGAGCTTCTTGTAAAAGGAATAGGGCATGAGATTGATACTAGCCCCTAATTTGGATAAAGCTTTTATTGAAGTAGAATTTCCGAATTCGCAAGGCAAAGTTAACCGCCCCAAATCTCCCATTTTTATTGGCAACCCCTCAATGATGGCAGTAGAACACAATTCATTAAGCATGATGATGGATGCTTTTTCCAACTCCATTCGGTTCGTCATCACATCCTTAGCGAATTTAAGAAGTTTAGCCACATATTTTAAGAATGAAGCATTGATTGAGAAGGATAGCACTTTTTCCATGAATTTCTTCTGCTCCGGTCTAGTGAGTTTCACATGGCTCGAGATAGATAAGGAAGTGGAGGGTAGAGTAGTTTTTTGCTTTTGCTTCATGCTTCGCTTCTTCCAGTTGTGGATCAAGCTGTCTGGTAGCTGTATCGTGGATCACTAATGACTTAGAATTAACCTCTTTTTCAGTGTATATTTCCATATCATTAGATTGTGTTTTTGGTTTAGGACTTTTAAGTGGTAAGCGCTCATTTAAGAGTTTGGTCAGTTGACCCAATTGAGTTTAAATATTCGTTATTGCAACTTGTTGGTTTCTTATTATGGCATCAGTCATCTAATGTATTTTCTTAGAAACGGGTGCAAATGTGCAAACATCAACTCAAACTAGTATTTATTCTTGGACGGTGATTGTTCTTTTTGATAAAAGCCTCGAATGGTTTACTTAAACTTCTCTTCCTTGGCTTTCTTATATTCGTCGTATGGAAACCACTCCTTCTTGGGTTTACTCCATTCTTCACCGTACTTGTCCCCACTTCAATAACATGCTTGAATATTCTGATTTCCATTATTGTCAAGGTCACAGTCCTTGGTTAAATGCGTTCCACCACAATTATCACACCCAACTTGAATTACATGGATGGATTGAACCATTTTTGTCATTCTTCGGTCCATGGAGTCTAACTTTGCCATTACCGCAACCATATCTTTTGAAGCTCCATTGCAATCTCTGTACCCTCTTGTCTTCTCTTCTCGAGGGTTGTGATATTCCCTTGATTGTTTGGATAACTCCTCAATTAGCTCCTTAATTATTGTCGAAGCCTTCTTCGTTAGCAGTACTTGAGAGTCAAGGAGTTTTCGAGTGGTCATGTTTACCCCGTCATAAAATATTAAGACTTCTTGTTG